GTGTGTGTGTGTGTGTGTGTGTGTGTGTGTGTGTGTGTGTGTGGTGTGTGTGGTGTGTGTGTTTTACCCCTTAGACAGTGGTGTGTTGCTGCTCAGACTAACTCGGCTGCGGACAGAGTATGAAACCATCTTCTTGAAGGAAACTCTCTCGTAGAAACTCTTCACTGGTCCTGACAGATCCACTGCACATTCAGAGGTCAGAGGTCAGAGGTCGGAGGTCGGAGCATTAACAGTAGAGCAGAAAATTAATGCTATAATTTTCAGATTCAGATTAAAAAGTGAAAACTTATGGTTAGGATACAGGATGATAACCACACTGAGGTGGGCCCTTCTTGAATAACTTATGTTCTGAAGGTCGTAGAGACTTGAAAGTAGGCTCCGCCTATACTAATGGGGCATTCCCGGTCGATTGGTACCACCCCCGAGTCTCTACTGGGAAGTGTTTGACAAAGTGTGGATTCCAAAATGGACTGTGTAGAAAGTGTGTAGGAGCACGTTTCAGAGCATTTGGAGTCTCCTGGTACCACCTGAGTGAAACCTTTTGAAATCCTAACCCTACACTGTAAAACATTTCAAGTCGGTTAAACTTGGAAATGCAAGTTCACATGCTGCCTTGAAAATGTAAGTTAACTCAACTTGAAAATGACCTTTTATTATACTACTATTAAAGTTCATCAAGTTGATTGAACTACAACATTGTTTTTCAAGTTAATTCAACTCAAACATTCTTGTTGCCTCAACATTATTTTTCAAGTTGAGTCAACTCAAACATTCTAGTTGTCTCAACATGTGTTTTTAAGTTGGTGAAACTTTGTTTTTTTAAGTTGATTCAAAAAACATTTTGGTTGTCCCAACTTTGTTTTGCAAGTTGATTCAACTCAAACATTCTAGTTGTCTCAACATGATTTTATTTAATAAAAAAAAAAAAAAGTTGATTCAACTTTTTTTAAAAGTTGATTCAACTACAACATTTTAGTTGTCCCAACTTTGTTTTGCTAGTTGATTCAACTCAAACATTCTAGTTGTCTCAACATGATTTTAAAGTTGATTCAACTTTGTTTTTCAAGTTGATTCAACTCAACATTCTACATTATTTTTTGGGTTAAGTTGATTCAACTTTGTTTTTCAAGTTGATTTAACTTTTAATCACGTGTGGTTTCAAGATAATACTGAGTCAGGGGTTAGTGAGAACTTTTATCACGAGTGAAGACTCTGGATTTTCAATGTCTTAATTTCAGGATTCTCACATTTCAGCAGAAAAATAAAGACAAATCATAATTGAAGCTGAATTCATTTGTGACTTTATTTAACCTGTGTGTGTGTGTGTGTGTGTGTGTAGGGGGGGGGGTGAGCAGTACCCTTCTTAATGTAGGTGTTGTTGGGTGTTCTGTCCAGCTGGGGGCGGCACTGGCGTCTCAGCGGTTTGTCGTACGCTCCACAGACTTGAGTGTTGGAAAACAATGAGCAGCTGAAGAAACTGGCTGAGTCGACATCTCTGACGTCAGCGATGGAGCAGTGCGGCTCCGCATCGCAGCCTGACGCACAAACACAACAACGTTACATGTGTTTGACGTCACCTGCTTCAACTTTCTCACAAACACGAAAACACAGAGTCGTACTTGTGAGACACCAGAGCAGTGCCTGCTGGGAGTTGTAGTTCTTCTTGTTAAGCCAGAACGACAGAGCGGAGAGATTCATCTGACGATCCACAAGGACGTCGTCTTCTGACAGAGCGTCAAACTTCTGCTGCACCGACCCTGAAGACACACACACAGTTTTTATCTTGTATATTTGTGTTTAGTTCTGTTTGAAGGTCTTTTATAAACGACCTTGTTATTATCTGTTGAAAAACCAGAAGAAACAAACCGTCCACAGAACGACTGAGTTCTTCTTCTGCACAGGAAGAGGAAGTAGAGACTGAATCTGCATCTGACAAACAAACAAACAAACAAACTTCTTCACTGTGGGCGTGTCTCATCATACAGGTAGAAACAAACAGCTGCTGAAGATGCTCCGCCCTCCTGGTAATGCTGCAGGTCAAAGGTCACAGCCAGTGGACTCTGAACCAACATGGTGTCGGAAAAATAAACTGCGACACACGTGATCTCTGACATCATGTCACAGTGTCGTAAGTGAAACTGTTAGCATGCTACGTTAGCAATACTCTACTAGGCTACTCATTCATGTTGTCAATTTCCACTATTTCAAATAAAGTATTCTTTTTTATTTTTTTACTTGTAGTATTTTTGTACTTATATGTTTGCACTGTAAAGGAGTGGCACTATCATTTCATTGTTCACCCTGTTCAATGACAGTAAAAGCATTCTTCTCTATTTCACTGCGGTTCATCCTCTGGGATCATGACGGATCAAACTAAATACAAATAATGTCCAGTTGCCATGGAGATGTTTCCTGTATGACCACACTACAAATACAGAGGTCAAAGGTCAGGTACCAGTGTTTAGGTAGACAGACTGGAAGCTGATGATGGACGCCTGGTAGTCCTTGTTCTTACTGTCGGCCGCCAGAGCAGAGTCAGCTGGAGACAAACAGACACACCAGTTAGTACAGGGACAGGAGAGACAGACAGACAGACACCAGTCAGAACAGAAACAGTAGAGATGAAGACAGTAGAAACAGAGTAGAGACAGAGACAGTAGAGACAGAGACAGTAGAGAGAGAGACAGTATAGACAGAGACAGTAGAAACAGAGTAGAGATAGTAGAGACAAAGCAGAGACAGTAGAAACAGAGCAAAAACAGTAAAGACAGAGACAGTAGAGACAGAGACAGTAGAGACAG